TGCTAGCCATCTTACTGCTGGATATATCATGTATGATAGTGTTATTGATGTTAGCCATCTTACTGCTGGATATATCAGATGTATAATAGTGTTATTGATGCTAGCCATCTTACTGCTGGATGTATCAGATGTATAATAGTGTTATTGATGTTAGCCATCTTACTGTTGGATGTATCAGATGTATAATAGTGTTATTGATGCTAGCCATCTTACTGATGGATGTATCAGATGTATAATAGTGTTATTGATGCTAGCCATCTTACTGTTGGACATATCAGATGTATAATAATGTTATTGATGTTAGCCATCTTACTGTTGGATGTATCAGATGTATAATAGTGTTATTGATGCTAGCCATCTTACTGATGGATGTATCAGATGTATAATAATGTTATTGATGCTAGCCATCTTACTGCTGGATATATCAGATGTATAATAGTGTTATTGATGCTAGCCATCTACTGCTGGATGTATCAGATGTATAATAATGTTATTGATGCTAGCCATCTTACTGCTGGATATATCAGATGTATAATAGTGTTATTGATGCTAGCCATCTACTGCTGGATGTATCAGATGTATAATAATGTTATTGATGCTAGCCATCTTACTACTGGATATATCAGATGTATAATAGTGTTATTGATGCTAGCCATCTTACTGCTGGATGAATCAGATGTATAATAGTGTTATTGATGCTAGCCATCTACTGCTGGATGTATCAGATGTATAATAGTGTTATTGATGTTAGCCATCTTACTGCTGGATGTATCAGATGTATAATAGTGTTATTGATGTTAGCCATCTTACTGCTGGATATATCAGATGTATAATAGTGTTATTGATGCTAGCCATCTTACTGCTGGATATATCATGTATGATAGTGTTATTGATGTTAGCCATCTTACTGCTGGATATATCAGATGTATAATAGTGTTATTGATGCTAGCCATCTTACTGCTGGATGTATCAGATGTATAATAGTGTTATTAATGCTAGCCATCTTACTGCTGGATATATCATGTATGATAGTGTTATTGATGTTAGCCATCTTACTGATGGATATATCAGAAATACTTTTGTAATACATACCTTTAAAACTACCTTTTGTTGATTTCTGTAAATTCAAGATCTGGTGTTACTCAATCAATTGTATTAGATCTTTCTCTACAAGAATGTAAACAATTAGGCAGGTTTCACATAATTTTTTTATATTTATTGAAACTGTATTTTTCTACCACTAAGTGTTTAAGAATTATATTTCATGGCACATCCCTCAAATATTCCTTTAAAACTGTCTCGTAGCATTCAAAATTAAATCTGCTATTGGACACAGTAAACTGCTTGGTAAAATTTACAGCAGAAATTGTTAAAGAAAGGTGTCACTATTAATAAGGAACTATAAATCAAGAAAGAAAATAATCAGCTTGGAAAGATAATGAAATATACAAATCAGCTTTATTAGATGAATGTGAGGTATGGTACTTATTCAATTTTCAAAATATCAGCAATATGATAAATAATATATGCCTTTTCTGTGTGAAACAACTATACCTTAAGGTCATACCTAGTGTTAAATTGTTTAGATACTGCTTGTCAAAATATTTTACAAAATTTAGGTACATTTTACATATGCAAATATTTAATGAAGTACAAGCATGCCTTGCTGACAAGTAAGATGCTATCATCAGATTTAAAACAAAATGATAATTCACATTTTAAATATGTTAACTCCTTTAATACATTCGCTACAGGTATCTTTTTCTGTGCATGTCACAAGGTTTTTGTGAGTTACATTCAAAATTTAATAAAACTACTTTCTTATCATGATATACAAATAAACTTCGCATAAAAATGCAGCTAACAATACAAATTTTCATATTATGCAAGTTTTACATTCTTAATTTTATAATACAATATTAAAAAAAAAATCCTTAATTTCCCCTAATATGAGAATTGTGACATTTGCTCTCTAGGTATCACCTCTTCTCTAATTTATTTATCACCCTTCCAAAATGAACAAAAGTTAACATAAATTACTTATTATAATGTTGTCATGGCTCAGGTAAAGCATAATTTTTATAGCCTTCAATCATATTTGGTTATAGAGCCATAAAATAGAAAATCAAACCACTCTTGCCAACCCACATGTCACATCCTTTCTTTCACAAATTGTCAATAGTTCTCTCTGACATTTAATACTATATTATTTATAACAAATAGAAAGTCAAGATTATAATCTATCAAATGACATATAATATTACATTGTTTTCTGTACAGAGAACTATATATATATATATTTTGCTTCCAGTTCAAACTTTATTCCCACAGGAAACACATCGACAAGCTTAGCTAAATTTCTAATGACTCTTGTTGCATAGTTAGAAAGTCAGAAAACTTGTGGTAGTTATGGTACATTGTCTGTTTTTTGCATGTTATTCTGTGTTCATTTATGCATTATTTAATTAATCAAAAATTAATTTAGTGCAGTAGTACCATTAGTATAAAAAAAAAGGGTTAAGTTTCATTGACAGTCAACATAAAAAAAATCAGGTAAATATCTATTTCTTGTTTTTTTATGTGTATTCTTTATTATTATAAAAGTAAATAAAATGTAACAATTAAAAACTTTTGAGGTTAGATTAGGTAAAATAAACAATAAAAATAATAATAAAAAAAATTACGAGGTACAATTGCAAGCAATTTGCAAGTAGCATGTGCATTATGTAATTCAATAGTGTAATGTGAACTTCATTATCACTAAATAATTTAAAAATTTTATGCCAGAAATATTAGTTTAGACAGTTCAAAGGGCAATAGAACAATAAAATTTAAGTATAAACAGATGTATACTGTTATGAAATTTAAACTTTTTAGGATAAACAAATGTAGTTTGATGTTGCAATTCGAGTCATTCTAGAAAGAAAAAATGGTAAATTTATACTTATTTCAAAAATTGTTTGGTAGTTACAAGGTCGATCAAATTGACCAACCTTATATAAAGTTAGGGTAGAGAAAATATAAAATAAAATATAGTTTTACTGAAAAAAAAAAAGTTTGAAATTTATTTAGCAGGTTTTAGAGAATACACAAATGAAATTTGAGATTTTTCAGATGAAGTATTTTGATCTTAGCATGAAAATCACTTTGCACTTGGAGTAGGCAAAACTTTGACTCAATAAATTCATGGTGAAAATACTTCATTAAAAATTCTGATTTTCTTTTGTCAACAAAGGACTCTTAATGATTATTGAAAGCTTGTGAAACATCACTTCTCCAGTACAGGTTTGATCCAGTGGACCAACACCATGCATTTTTAATTAACTCTTGCTACGGCTTGGTCGAATCAACCTAAAAATTGACATTTAGAGTTTTTATACTATAACTTTTAATATTTTTTGTATATTTTCACAAAATTGACTATAATTCCAAATTTACAATCTATATCTTCACAACAAGTAGCAAGCTCTTAGTAAATGATACAAATTTGTTGTACACAAAATATAAAGTATTAATAAAGAAACTGTATGAAAGATATGTCTGTGAATTGATGAAGTCGGTCTGACTCAGATTCTGAAAAGTTGGAGTGCAAGGTTATGAAGAATAAAAAAAATACTTTTTCTCCAATGTACAGTTTGCATAACTTCTAGAATCTCCTGAATGATATTTATGGTTGTTTTAAGTATCCCTGTATACTGTATCTGGTATTTCCTGAATAATATCCATGATTGTTTTCAGTATCCCTGTATACTGTATCTGGTATTTCCTGAATAATATCCATGATTGTTTTCAGTATCCCTGTATACTGTATCTGGTATTACCTGAATAATATCCATGGTTGTTTTCAGCATCCCTGTATATTGTATCTGGTATTTCCTGAATGATATCCATGGTTGTTTTCAATATCCCTGTATAATGTATCTGGTATTTCCTGAATGATATCTACGGTTGTTTTCAGTATCCCTGTATACTGTATCTGGTATTTCCTGAATAATATCCATGGTTGTTTTCAGTATCCCTGTATATTGTATATGGTATTTCCTGAATGATATCTATGGTTGTTTTCAATATCCCAGTATATTGTATCTGATATTTTCTCTACTCTTAACACTAAGTGTTCTGCTATCAGCAATGTAGATAAGATGAAACACTGATAACTCTTATCCCTCATTAAATATCATGTTGAATGGCACTCTGTATAAGGTCTCAACATGTGCACTTTGACTCCCACCCATGTTCATACGGTTAAAGAAACAAAAAAACATGTACACATACACACAAACAGATTCACAAATGCAACTGCCCCAAGTACTCAAGGCCGATTAAGCATTTGTTAACCTTATCCAGCACTATATGCAAGAGAAGTTAGTTTATCTATTGTTAAGCAGAAAGCCATACAATGGACTATCTGCTCTCTGGGCCAACAACAGGTATTGAAATAAGTGAGTATAAACACCAATACACACTACTTAGGTAGATTAAAGTGTCTGTGTGGTGCCAAAAAACTGTGAATTACATGAATCTGAGAGAGATTAGAAGCTGTTAGAAGAATGGAAAATTATAAGTAATATAATCGCAATGCTCAGTCAAGTGTCACCTACCAAGTGATATTGGAAACTTATGGGGCAACATAAAGAGAGAGATTATGAGCTGTTAGAAGAATGGAAAATTATAAGTAATATAATCGCAATGCTCAGTCAAGTGTCACCTACCAAGTGATATTGGAAACTTATGGGGCAACATAAAGAGAGATTATGAGGTGTTAGAAGAATGGAAAATTATAAGTAATATAATCGCAATGCTCAGTCAAGTGTCACCTACCAAGTGATATTGGAAACTTATGGGGCAACATAAAGAGAGAAATTACGTCAAACAACAATATATATCAACAATGAATACATTTAATAATGGCTGGAGACAGCTTGAATGGGTAATGAAGAAAAACTTTAATATAAGTTTAACATAACAGCAAACGTACAATGTACCTGATGATGACAAAACCTTGTCGAAACGTTGTACATTTGCTGTTATGTTAAACTTATATTAAAGTTTTTCTTCATTACCCATTCAAGCCGTCTCCAGCCATTATTAGTCTCAAAGTGGGTTCCTCGTCATAGAATTTGAATGAATACATTTGATATAGGCTTTATAATTGTTATGCACCACATGAATCACAGCGACAGTTTTTACACTAAAGTCAAAAGAATACTCTAATACATGCTGTTGATATAACTAATTTTACTCCAAAAAGAGTCTTTGTAAATAATTTTATTTAATAAAATGATTCATGTTTAAAGCAACTGATTTTTATTCATGAAGAATAAGTGACATATAAAGGATTAAATATGTCCAAACACAAGAGTATTACTCAAACCATTCAGTTTTTCCTAAAAAAAATATTTTCCCAACACTGTAATACAAGAAGTGCATTTTATTTTATTTTACGAACAGAGGCTAGTACTTAAAAAGCATGTATCAGTCTGGAATTACTGTGGCTTTCTACATAACTTACTTCAACTGTGAAGTTTGTGTTTCTTCAACTGCATAATCACTTATTACTGGAAGTTTAACAGTTTTAAGATGTTGACAGTTCAATGTCAACATTAAATGAATAAAAGAATCATAATAAAAAATAACAACCCTAATAGTAAAAGTAGATTATATATCAGTATCTTAGTTGCATATTCAACTATGTGCTGGATTACTTGATGTATACGCAGATAGTTTAGAATGCCATATATAAGTTACACACTTTGAAAAAAGATCTAACATAAGGCAACAGGATGAGAACAAAACGTTGTACGTTTTCAATGCATTTTATACAAACACACATCCTACTAAATGCCTTCAGGATTAATTAGTCAAACTCATGTTCAATTCAACTTCTTTAACAGATATAAAGTATGAAAAAAATTAAATAGGAAAATTAAGTTAAAAAACGTTACTAAACAATCTAAGAAAAA